AATAAAATGTTGAAACAAATCAGCAAAAAAGTTGAAAAAATACAGTATAGTGACCATATATTATAAGAGTTATTCGGGTAAGTGATTCTAAATATGGCATTAAATTTTTAAAGTGCATTGTTTTAAATTATTCAAACAATAAACGGTTTAAACAAATCAGCAACAAGATTGAAAAAAAATTGAAGTGCTTTATTTAATTGAAGTGGCTTAAGATATAAAAGATTTTTTAGTTGCTCAGTAAAACCGCTTATGGGCACAAATGAAAAAATACGGGTCAAATATTTTTGGTAGTTCTACACTTGTGCCAAATTTGAAAAACATCGGAGTGTAACACTTGGGTAGGTTTTCTTGTGAGATCCGCAAAAGAATGATTTTCAACGAATTCCAGCCCAATTTCGTTTAATTTTTGCCTTACATGTTCACGGGCTATTCATCCGCTTTTCGCTTCGCATACGATGGCCAATTAGCGACGTTGGCTACCGTTAAGTTATTCAGATGCTGTCTTATTAGGCCCACGAGTGACCCCTAACTATTCTCTGTATCCTCTATATAAAAAAGTTAATTAAAAATTTTATAAGTTAAGAAATTAATAAAGCTCTCAAGTGAAATCACAACTTAAAAATTCACGGGTCAATAAGAGCCGGACGTGGATGATAGTGCTTCAGATTCATAGAAAATAAATTTTTCTATGAAGCTAATTATACTGTACACAAGGCACGAAATTTTCTTGGTCTTATACCAAGATTACTAATTTCAATTCAAGATTTGTAATATTCCCTCTTTACCCCTCTGAAAAAACAAAGGCAAAAAAAATATCGGGGCGAAATCGCTGAATCGTATAAGACCAAGAAAATTTCGTGCCCTGTGCACAGTATAATCAGCTTCATAGAAAAAGTTTTTATGAATTTGACGCACTATCATCCGCGTCCGGCTCTTATTCGCTCGCGAATTTTTAAGTTGTAAAAATTTTATATTAATTTTAATTTTCGAGGAAAAAAAATATCTTCGTATATTCCGAGAAACGAATAATGCACACCTTTAACATGGCATCACTTAAATTCAGATTCACGTGATGCGTGTCCCATTTTTTTCGCGAAGGACACGAATATCATTGAGCGCAACCGTCATTTTCGTGCGCGTGACTTTTGTCGTGTCGCCTTCATTAAAAGTCGACACGGGTATACCGTTTGTTTCCTGAATGCGGGATATATGTGACGACGAAACGCGATGAAAATTCAGGGTCGAGGTTTGAGAGACACGGCGTTTTCTCGCTAAATGACCTAACATTTGTTATCTTGTGCGACTTCTCACGGTTCGCTGACCGATAAAGCCGCTTGTTGTCGACAAACGACAGGTCACGCAATGAGTGAATGTCGAGGAAGTATAACGTGACATTCGTTTTCAGAATGAAACAGATGTCGTTCAATTCACCGTCTAACTTCTAACAGCTTCGTTGATTTGCCATAGTAATCAGATTTAAGATGATGATCAGATAAATAATATTATTAAATAAATATACATATTACATTTTTTCGTTTCACTCGCAATATATCGCTATTAAAATAGCATTATTGTCTCAAGAAAATTAAAATCAATCTTGAGCTTTAAACATCTAATCCATTTTTTCGCACGACTAAAATTCATTTACTTATTAGAGAAATGAATGCAAAATGTGTTAGAAGAGAAATGATAAGCAAAACTTGAGAATTCTATGTTATGTGCACAACGACCCGATGACCCCCATGACGTGACGATGACGTGCAATCTCGCATCTCTCGCGAGGTTCGTCGACCGATAAAAGCGCCGCCGCCGGCATCGCCGCCGCGCTGTCATAGCGATGGCGGCCATGTGGAGCGCGGCCGCGCGCGCGTGTTGCATCTCCGTAAGAGAGATGCATCTTTGGTGAAATCGTGAACCGGGCAAGGCACATTCAAGCCGCATTACAGCCTCCGTGGTAGCCGCCGCTCAGGGCGTGGCTGCTACAGTTGCACCGCAGCCGCGGTAATCAGCACGCAGCTGCATTACGAGTCTGTTTCCGACAGCGCGCGAGGAATGCCCGTCAAAATGCCCGCGCAATTAGAGATCGCAGGATCGAGGGAGCGGCAGATCGTGAACTTGGAAAAATGCAAAGCTGGACACGTAAGAGAAACGCAGCGCGGCAATAACGGTCGCGAAATTCTCTCAATAAACTTGATTGCTTAGATGCATCTTCGGGGCCGATAGGAATAGCATCGTTAGATCTCTGTAATGTCTCGTAATGACGACGAGATGGCATTTGACGATTCTGATGAGAATGCTGGTCGATCGAAGCGACTTTTTGAGACTCTTATTCGGTTACCGAAGTCTTTTACGTGACTGGAATTTCTCACGGCGACGATATGCTCTTCTTTTCTTAGCCGTCGGCGGTTAACGGTACTTCAGCCAAGTAGCGTCATAGCCTCAGTGAATTTGTCGTTAAGCCGCGAAGTCAAGCGAGACGTAGCAAGAATTTGACTGCAACAATCACTCTTATACTTAATTGAAATATTAATAAAATGTGTTTAAAAATTTATAAAAATATATTCTCCTAACAAACGCGTCTTGTAGTTTTCAAAATTCTGCTTCAAGATTCATTGTGTGCATATGTGTGGGTATGTGTTTTTTTTTATAAAAATTGTACGCTCCATTTAGATATTAATAAAAAAATATAAGCACGTTTACTTGTATAATTTCATTAATGAGATCGGTGTGTGATATTAAAATTGTATGTGCAAAATGAATTTTAACTTATGCGCATATTTTAAAATAATACAAGTATTAAACAAAATATTGAATAACATCCTTAATACTCGAGACATGGAATCAGAATATCTGGTACATCACGTGTGAATACTTATCTATCTGCACGCTAGAGTATCTATATACTCGTGTACATGCCTATCTGCCTACCTACCTACCCAGCTACCTACCTACCTACCCACCTATCCAAGTTAAGAGCTACAAGGCTGGCTTATGTTCTCTCTACCACTATAATGCCGGAGATACTAATCCTTGATAGAAGAATTTTAGGTCATCGTAATATAACCAATTTTTTTAACTTTTGTTTTATAATTAAAATGCAAGAAATAAACTTTCTAAAGTTATAAGAAATGACTAATTTATGTTTTATAATGGAAGATATTGCTATGTATCATCTGTAATAAAACGCATCATTAATCGCAAGATTATTTCGTGGTATTTTATAAAGAAGCAAATTAAATCCTAAAAGCAATTGCAATTTTGCAGTAGCGGAAATATTTATAAAGCTATATGTCATGCAGTTTTCTAGCAATATTTTATATTTATATTGCATGTTATATTTTAACAAATCAAATAAAAAATTATTCTTGTATATAGCAAATTTATTCATAAGAAGATGAGAGCGAAGAAATCCGACCATTGCTTTTTACTGACCTGACGAAGTGGGCAGCATCAAGGCATTCATGGATAAAATTTGCAATTGCGATGCCGCGAAATTATTGTATCATGCATGGGAATAAAAATTCTCTTAAATCACTCGCAAATACACACGCAACTCGCAATTTCGTTTGTTTCAACATCCCATTAGCGTTTTACAAACACAAAACGAAAAATGCGAAAATTCATCGTGCAAGAAACTTTCTCTTCTACGTACGCGCGCACGTTTCTAAGGTTTTCTACGATGTAAATTTACGCTACGGCCAGAATCGAGCCGGTAGCGACGACCACACCAAGTGGAGAGAAAAAATCGCGAATTGTGATGCAAGAACTAACTGCGATCGGAACGAAGTATCGGAAAAGGTAATGTAAGAGAAAAGTTTCCAGTCCGTAAAAAGTGGTTTTCGTAGTCTTCTTATATTTCGCTATTATTCGTGAACAACGCGGGCAAATAATTTAGAATTTAGTTCTTAGAGACTGCGTCTGGGTATGAATAGACATTTACAATTGTCGAAATAGATCTTGCTGTAAAACTTAATGTTACATTGTTGCGAGAGATTAATTACATGCGCGCATGCCTAGAGAAATTAATTACACAATCTATGTGTAACAATAAGTCTCACACTTTATTCATATACAAAGATTCATACAAGGAAAATTTTCTAGAGTGGAATCTTTTGTTCTTATCTTAGGATAGATCTCTAGGGAATTAGCACAGTTTCGTGTTACTATTTTGATTCATATGTTTTTTTACATTGCAAGACACTGCAAGACAAACAAGAATTTTTCATAGAGAGAATCTGTGTCATTAATAATAGAAATAAAAAAAGCTACGTTTTATTAGATATTAGATACATAGTTTCTTATTAAGGTGGAATGATTGATAACCGTCCTTGGTTCGAGTGTAATCACTCGATTAAACCTTTCAATTGTATAATATTTTTATTGAGATCCAACTTGAATAAACTTCATTTCTTCTTGTCGGACGTTTTTAATTGATCGCCGACTCTGTTCTGCCGGTTTTGTTCTGACGTTTCTTAAGATCGTGGATGTTTGATCGCGCCCCACAAATTTCAACACGTAAAAGATTTCTATACGTGTAATCGCACGTCCGTGCCTTGCACAATGCATTCGTCACAAACATATATAATATCGCCATGTCTACACAGCGAAACACGTTTGTATTTTACGTTTCAAATTGTCAGAAAATGTTTTTTCTATTTTTCAAACTAAAATATAAATAATGCATCTGTTAGCATTAATGGAAGCCGTTTTAATTTTAGTCTTATCATTAAAGTTTTTATTAAATTAAATTTGATTAAATCCGTATTGTAATAAATTAAGGGCGACGTCTTCGCGGAGATCCCTTCTTCAATCGCACACCGTAAAATCCAGTATTTGATCTGCTATTCGTTCAAGAATTTTTTCTCGCCAGTGCAAGTGATCCCGCGGCGCTTGCGAAGAAAGGCACGCTCATGCAAGATCAACCTCACACATCGAATATGGTTCCGACGTTCGTCACGACATACCGGTGTATCTCTTACGAAAGAGAGAGAGAGACTTACGTTTGTTTCTCCTACGTTCTACGGCGAAATTCTAGTCCCGGGGTACATGTACACCGTTGAAGGTCCGTCTACGAAAATTCGCCGATGAGTAATTCACTACACAGAACGAAACGAAACTCACACGCGTGGGCGAGTGGCGGCCGATAGCGATACGCGTTTACGAGGCCGAAAGATGATGTGAAGGAAGTCAGTTTCGCCGTTTTGCATCGAATAAGGTGGCGATAAAGAATAACAAGAGAGAAAGAATGGAGCGGTGTAGAGAACGGAACAAAAATCCAACAACTGTCTTCTCAGGGTCACGTAGCTCCTTCCCGCCGGCCCGCCGCTACGAGACTGAAGAGAACCGGGGTCTCTCTCTCTCTTCGCCCAGGTGAACGGTGCGCGTTACCTGAGAAAGAGTGCCTTCTTCCCTTCCCCGTGACGATCAAGGGAGAGAAAAGGAGGCAGCCGTGAACGTAGGCGCAGGAAAGATGGAGGAGACATCGTCGCGAGGCTGAAGAAGGCCGAGCATGGCATCGTTCTCTTGTATTGTTTATTGCATGGCAGCACTGCGGAGGTAGCTGTACGGTACATTTAAATACCTGTCACGTGGCGGCCAGATTGCTGCAAAATGACGTCAGGACGGGAATGCGGCAAAGAATGAGAGAGAGAGAGAGAGAGAGAGAGAGAGAGAGAGAGAGAGAGAGAGAGAGAGAGAGAGGAGAGAGGAGAGAGGAGAGAGAGAGAGAGAGCTGAGAGAGAGAGAGGAGAAAGGAGAGAGGAGAGAGAGAGATAGATAGATAGATAGATAGAGAGAGAGAGAGAGAGAGGAAAACGCAAATATGTTATATGGGAATTTATAATTTCGAAACACTTTTGATCTCCTAAAAAAGTTAAAATTATTTCTGAACATGCGACATATTGTTAAATTAACTTTTGCACTGCTCGAAGATAGCATCTAAACTAGTTTGTATGAATGCTCATTGAGAGACAATATTTTGTTCTAGTGGATGTGTTATTTCCGTGTTGATGTTAATCCCATACTTGCAGGAGGGTAGGAAACCAAAGAGGTAGCCTTTCTATTTGAGAAAACAGCCGTGAACGTAGCACGAAGGCGAAACAGCCGGTGGAACTCGAGTTTGATCGCGTCGGACTACATCAGCCCAACCAGTTCGCATTACCGAGAGTAGGTAGGTATGTGTATCTCGGGAGGCTGTTACATACAGCTAAAGAAATATCGTAAAAAACCACGAGTTACAATATCTTTTTATGATGCAAAAATTGTTTGCGGGTAGAAATCCTTTATCTCACCAGCTTAGTAAGTTCTATTGTCGTCTCGCGAAAAAAACTTGTGGCCCCTTTATTATTACAGAAACTTTTTTGTTTCCAGTAAAATATTATTAAACTTAAAAAAATTAACAATATTTATTATATACAATAGTAAAAATATGTCATTGTGAGTCACATATACAGATTTATTATGAAATTATGATGAAGTAAATATATATTTCTACGATTGTAAGAAAGAGAGTTACGTATAGATAATTTTGTTAATTCTCTATAATAATAGTTAGCTGATCCTCATTCTCTTTTGTGTTGACACAAATGTTAAAATAGCCACGGCTTGGCACGCCAACGGGATTAAGTAGGCGCGTGGTTGCAGCAAATAGGCGTTTCTCGCGAAAAGAGACATCGATGCTCACGCAGGAAAGGTCGTCGAGCCAGATCAGCGCAGAGTCACGCCACGTCGGGTATGACGACCGGGGCGATGCGGATTTCTTTTTCTTGCGTATACCTTGAATGAAAGTTGTAATTGACCGAGACGTTGGATGCGGCGACGCGGTATGCTTTACTGAGACCATATACTACTGCGCGTTTTGCGTACGTCGATATATCTGACATGAGACGTAAAATTTCGCGCCGCTAATTCAAAGAGAGATTCGCTCTTTTTTATATCGGCGATTAGAAATCATCGAGAGATGCGATCCGCATCATTTATCGTACACCCGTAAACACAGGAAGAAGCTCGACCACAACAACTAATGTGAAGATATTTACATTGCTTTTATAAAGCAGGGAAGATCAAATTTTTATATTTCAAGGAAGAATGTACTTCACTTATTCTATTCGATTATTTCTTTCTTTAAATGATTTATAGGAAAAAATGTAGAATAATACAAATGAACATTACCGGACAATTTTTATATTAAATCTTCGCAGATAGATCCTTTATAAAAAAAAGAATTGCGCAAATCATTGTTAAACCAGCGTCTATATTTTTCTCGATGCACGATCGTCTAATTGCCTTCGTCGAGGTTCAGGTGTCATCTTTTTTTCCACTCGTTCTAATTACAACGGACGTAACACTTTTTACCAAGCGTGACTGCGATGCTGGGAGTTATGCAAGAAGAGCGAGCGCATCGCCCGTCGCCATGCGCGACGCAAGATCCGTTGCAATTATTTTCAACTCTTAATTAACATCCAGCTCAAAGCGCATTAAAGACGATTGGACGGAAAGTCGGATGGTCAACGGTCGACAATTTTACGATAAAAAAGCACATGGTAATAAGTGCGCTCCGTTAGCGTTTTATCGGGTCTGCTGCACTTGGAGGCGTTCAACCCGGCAACTCTCTGGGCGCATGCGAGCGAATCTTATTCGCGCGGCTGTTTATAAATAAAACGGAACCATCATCCTTAAGTTGCTTACCAAGCCAGAAAACGCAATCCGATAGAGCTGCGTCGATTTGCACTGGCTTGCTTTTAAATAATGCTCCGTCATTGTCGGTTCACGTTTTCGTTTTTTATTTGCGCAGATAAAGGACACAAAACATTTGTAACATAAATTGCAATGGGTCAAGATAAATTTATAGATATTATTCGAGGAAATAATTATTGTGGATTATTTTACTTTCAGCAGAAGTATGTGGATGCGAATGCAACTCGCGAACAAAGTAAAAATAAATGCGACTTGTTCGGTAAAATACATTTTTTGGCTACTTATAATGTAATTTCTATTGCGCCGCGATTGTCGCCGTTTGAGTTCGGTTATCAATGCGCGACTTTCGAGGCATTGTCAATTATACACTTTCCCGACTTTCTTTCAAGAGCGATGCGCGCCTGATCGGATAGTTGCGAACTTGCTCGCGCGAGAACACAAAGATACGAGTTTCATTAGCAAGATACGATTCATCACGGTTTAGTGTCAGTTCAATGTTGATAGCATAATAATTCCGATCATATATATTTCGTAATATTACTCCGGAAGCTTACGACGCGACGTGCATTTAAATCGTGATGTATATTATTAAGTGGCATTTAGCTGTATCGGTATACCGAAAGAGAAATGCTGTCAAGCGCTCATGACAAAAGACGTTGACCCGGGCAAAGAACCGTTCGATTACACTCGCGCCTGCATAGATAAAATATATTAACTTTACCGTAATTTTTTCATCATAGTTTTCGTAAAGAAACATGACTCTCTTTAGAGGTATAAAAAAGTGAAAATTTTTCAAAATAAAGATACTAAAACTAATATAATAATATTTCGATTTGATATAAAATAGACACCTTACTAGTTCGATCAAACTTTGTAACTTAACTTGAACTACTCAACTAGTCTGGAAGTTAGTATAAATACGAAATCCAACTTGGCATATGCTGATCAAGCCATCAACCAAGTTGAATCAAACTGAGTTGGTTTATATTCCCGAGATAAACAAAATTATATTTTTTAATTGGGGTTTGTATTTGAACCGTCTGCGTTTGTCGAGTTAATCATGCAATAATTTTGCAAAATATCGTAGATAAGACGATTAGGAAGTTTGGCAGGGCATCGACCCTGATGGCGAGAAACCGTTCGACGTGCGTTCAAATTCTGTTGACGCACAGGTGTAGTCGTGTAAACTCGCCTCGGTATGAGCGCGAGCTCCCTTCCTCGAGGCTTGCCTCGCCCGTGTCCTACAAAACTCACAGCGGATTAACGTCGGAGCATTTACGACGACCTCTTTATCCGTTGGTACAAGCTCGCGTGTATATGCGCCGGCACGCCAGTTTCACCAAAGAACACGTCGAACGGCGAATGAGATGCATAGCTGCATTCCACGCGCGGTCGATCGAAGCGATCATTACAGATATTATGGAGTGTATCACTCTCTTTCTGCGAGTTTCCAGTTGTACAACGAGAAATCTAAAAACAATCTTTTCTCAAAATTGCGAGTCGTGTTTCGGAGGAAAGAGATACTTTGAAATTTGTCATAATAAATTTAGCTTTTTTTTTATGTGAAAGATTTGATTAAAATTCTTTTTATAAAGAGAAAATAATTATTACAGAAAAAGGAAAAGAAGGAAAAAGGAAATTTCAGAAATTTCACGTTTAACTAAATATGATGTAAAATTGTTCGGAAAAAGTTCAGCGAAAAATTCAGCGAAATGCAGGAAAATAAAAATGCGTCAAATTGATGCTTACAATAAACGGGCGTGCTTGTAACACATGAATTATGTGCATTTTCCTCGCCTTGAACTTGAACGTTACACAAGCAATCGCGGAATAGTAATCATGTAGCTTCCTCGTTTGATTCGAGCGTTCTTAACATTGCGACTTAACATTAAAACATTGCGTTTTGCGTCCCTCGAAAATGTCCGCTAACATTGTTCAACGACACCTTACTATATATATAACGCATTATTGCATCCAATCATTCGGCTGGCGACATTCGTGATATATCGTAAAATGCGATATAAGCAACGTCGTTTCTGCGAGAAACTTTCGAAACTCGACAAGTTTCCAATAAAGTAAATTTGAGCTTCGACAATTCGAGCAATGCGATCGACTAATATAAAATTGCACAATAAATTTTCGATCGGTATTTACTATAGCCTCGAAAAAACGCGTCACAAATTACTGCCTGTCGCTCGCGGTGGATGCATCCTGAATTTTCGATTGGCTCGCAGAAGAGTTTACGGTATAGTAGCGCGCTGGGGCACGTCCACCCCGAGAGGAGTAGGTGACAATGACGAAAAAAGACAGCATAAGCATGCGGAGGACAGCCGACGACGACGAGGTAGGGCCGATGGAGGCCGCGATCCGCGACCGGCAGGAAATCGCCGAGAGTATAACGGTACCAGAAGCGCGGTTACACCGCATGCGGACGTTTCGCGTCGCCGACGTCGTCATCATCGTCGTCGTCGTCGTCGCCGATAAATATAAACGACGAATCTCGGCTCTTTGTCGTAACGCTTGTAGTTAAGTGTCATTCGTCGCGGCTATGATCCGAAGAGAGCAGGTGGGATAGGTCGCGTCTGTTCTCTACGAATAAAAAACCGAGCCGGAAACGGATATTCCAAACGGAAGCGCGAGAGTCTTTCTGAAATAAAAATTTTGGCATATATTTTTTAAGTATGTTTATATATTGAATATAGAGAATTGTGAAATAACGACGATCTCGTTAAACCCGCATTTGGGCCTGTACGCTCGGCTAATTATCGCCGCACGAGATTTCTACAAAGTCAATATTAACTCACCTACCGAAAATTGTGCGTGATTCGCGCCGCATTTTAACCGGCCAAAAATTTCAAGTTGAACTATTTGAAGCATGTAAAACGAGAATCTTGAATCATCCACTCATCCAGCTTATATAGTCACAAAACTTTTTAATTGTATAATTTTAAATCTGAGAATTATTTTTTATTTAATAATATTTTCTATATCTTTCCTGTGATTTATTTGATTATATATTAATTGCTAATACTTGGTTTTGTCATAATCGGGTAATTGGGTCACATAACTCTTACAAGTGCAGAAGTGTCGTTTAAAAGAGATGCGGTCAATCTTATCGAAACAAATCCAACATTCCGCTAACCATTGTCGACACTAACGGTCGCTAATGCACTGATAAGACTTGCGCGGCTGATTGCCATTTTTAAGTATCTCACCCTTAGCATTGTCACAGTCACTTTATCGATTACTTATGGAGAAATCACGCAGTTACAGCATTATAACATATTGAAATATTTCCTTTTGTACATCTCGAATTGCACATTTCAATTGTGGGAATGATGATTGACAAGTGAGAAAAAAATTCATAATATCATTTGTAATATTCAATCATCTTTTATCTCTGTTATAATTATACCTACTTAATGCACGCAGCTTTGTAAGTATAGTTTATTTTTAGCCCGAGTTCTGTCATATATATTGTTGCGATGAATCAATATTGAAAATGTTATTTTAAATAACAATGAGTAATTATACTTTCTTCTTACATCACACACGTGCGATCATCACCGCTTACGAATTTCTCAAGGATCGCAGCTGCAATGAGAACTTCCTCGATACCGGGATGATTCATATCCCGGCAAGATGCGGATACAATGGCTCGGAATGCAAGCGAGATAGAGCGGGCTCATCAAGAATACGAGTGAGTCGCGACGTAATGTAGGTAATCCATAATGAGGACTTTATACACATTCCTCAACGTCGCCCGCTTTCTCTGTCCGTCTCTCTCGCGCTTGCACGAGAAGAGATTTCTCTATTTGCTCGTGCGTTTCGCTTCAATCCTTTCTCCATCCTCCGCCCCGTTCTGCCTGCATTAAGTCCAGTCCAGATTCCGTCGCGGCAGAGTAATTCGCACCGAAACGATCATTAGTTCAGGTATTCTTAACCTTATTCGCAACGCGGTACCTTACACGCTCTCGTTGCGGAATATAAGTTGATATTTATTAGTAAATTGTAATAATTATTAATGTTAACTTTTAATTTCTTTTACAAGTTTTTATTGTATATTGTTAAATTTCTTTTACAAGTTTCATTTTATTGTTTATTGTTTAATTTCTTTTACAAGTTTTTATTGTATATTGTTAAGATAAAATTATACGAAGTGTTAGATAAATCGTGATAAGGCCATCTTTTCGCTAATTATTATCGTACAATTTACTGGATATACTGTATAATGTAATTAAATTTTTTTTTATAACAGGAAATATTTTATTTTCTCCCAACTTTCTTTAGCAATATTTCCTTTAGCAATACGTAAGTGCGAAAAGGTATCCATGGAAAATTTGTCATAAAAAAAGTGGCCGCAATTTAAGCTGGATCTATTGTAGTTTCGCATTTTACATTACATTATAGCGCTCGTACATGTTCATGTTTCACGTAAACTTGTAAACGCGTGCACCCACACACACGCACACGCACACGCACACACACATACACACACACACATGCAGACATTTTTTAGGAATCACACACACAGCGCAAGAAAATAAAGAATCTTGGGCGATGGAGACAACCAACAGGATTAACGGTACTCCTCGGAATGAAATTATACGTAGTGTGTCCCGTGTTGATTACATAATCAATGCGTCTTGCACGGATTGTCGAGAAAAAATTACGGTCGCTCATTGTCAGCCATGCTTGTAGTCATCTATTAGAAGAACATAAGAAATTATATTCACAGAGATAACGAGAAGAGACGAAGATAGATCGTATTTGGTAGAGAAAAGTCATAAACAAAATCTAGGAATGACTTCCTGTTGAAAAACGTGAATTTTGTCGCAAAAATTTATAGAAAGACACAATGATTTAAAGAAGTCTATTCTTCTCTTCTTGTCTTCCTACGCGTTTACATTATAATGGCTAAACAAATTTGTCGTAATTGTACGACGGTTATATTCATGAT